AGATTTCGGATAATCGATTCTTATACGATAACCAGTTTAAATTTTTTGTTTTACATTTTAAAAATATGTTATAGCATCCATTCTCTATATTAATATGACACGTCTGTTATTTTTAAACGTTGTTTTTCTTCAGTAAAGCTCATTGCGATAATAAATAGATAACATAAAGTTTATGTCAGAGAGATAAATGTTGAGCTGTAAAATGAGATAAAAATGAAATTATCATTATATTATGTTTGTAATAAATTATATATATTAATAGAGCGAAGTCCATCGACGAATTTTTTCCAGTTTTGTCAAATATATTCTGCAATTACAATTGTATTAATTATCAATTGTTTTATCAATATGTTTGTATATATATTGGAAATACAGTAAGATTTGTTTCTGTAACAAACTACTTATCACTTATACATGTTTAATATCTAAAGAACTGCGCATTATATCTTATCCTTTTAATATGCATAATGTTTTGAAAACCTATCTATATTACACCGATTAAGTTAATACATTGTAAACAAAATAAATTTGAAGTTTATAAAAATTTATAAAGGTATTTTTATACGTCTATAATCGTTATCTGAAATGTTTATTCTCTTTCAAATTTTTTTCTAAGTATCGATATTAAATTATCTTTTTTTTTTTTTCCAAATCAATATTAAGTTTGAAACAAAGATTTATGTTCTAACCAGCTGTTTAGATTTCGAGAATACAAATTTTATAGGATGTTTTTACCTATTTGTTTCTGTTATTTTGATCGTTTTAAGTTTTAAATTTCCTCAAAAGTATGATGCAATTAAAATTAACAATAAAATCTATAATAATGCTGAGGTTAATAGGACAAATTTCCTAATCTTCTATCAGACTTCTATCAGATAATAATTAAAAACATTTGATGTCAAGGGTGAAATATGTTATAATTTAAACTTTTCAGCAATAGAACTTNTTGCGGGTTTTCCCGGGATAAGAAAAATTTCCCGGGATATTTCCCGGGTTAAAAAAACAACCGGGATCCCGTTTGAGAAACCCTAGTTACTACCTCTGTCCTCTATTATGGTATGCCTATACATTTCTGTAAAACTTGTTTGATTATTGACCATTAAAGAAAATAAAAGTTTAAATTTGTGGTTTAATTTTAGTTTTTCTACTAATTATATAGTTTGAAATTCTTGCAGTTGATTGTCATTTGATATATAAGATCTGTAATACACATCAAAATAACATCCAATTAATTTTATTTATCATATGACTTGTGTTTAGTCAAAAAAAATGCAGAAAAGGAAGTTTGATTTAAATGAATTATGTATAATAATTAAGTATGACCATTATGACCATTATAAACCATAATTTCAGATAACAAATAATAGTAAAATGTATACCATAATATGGGAGAAAGATACTATTTAAAAATGAAATCAATTCAAATTTAAATTAAAAAGAAATGAATAACAAACTATTAGCAAATATAACTAATATCATCATAATTAATTGAGTGCATTATCTGATTCAATAAACAATAACAATAGGTCACTTGTTTCATTTTCATGCAAGTAGTTTCTTAAATAATTTTTAATTCATTTCAACACTGTAAATGAGCATTCAGCATTTGTGTTTGAAATATGCATCATCAAAAATATTTTAAAAATTGTTTAGAAGTTCAGGAAGGTAGATGTAATATTATGAAGTTAATACTAATGGTAACTAAATTGTTAGTTGTTACATGTGTATATGAACAACAGTTAAGTTTGATTGGTTACAGCCATATGACTGAACATTTCAAATGGAGGCAAGAAGCCACCCAAATTTTTCAGGTGGCACTAGTTTTATAGTAACACCTGAAAAATTTAGTATTTAGTATTAGATATAGTAATTTAGTATTAAAGTTAGTTTTATAGTACAAATTTAATAATCAAAAATAATTTTATTTTGCAATTGTAACTAGACTGTATTTTGTATAATTATTTGTGAAGAATGAGGCTTTAAAGTGAGGCCCTTAGTTTGCACCTAACGGTAATAACTTATGGTATAAGCAGCCCTGATGACCATACACTTTTGAGAACCACTGCTATAGAAGCAGGGCCATCAAGAAGGGAGAACTGAGGATTTTCCTTGAGCTTGGAGAAAATTTAGAGATCTGTAATGGCACTTATCTCTACAAAATGAATGTTACTTTTACTAACAGAAAATAAAATCTTTAAGATTACTTTTATTAATTTAATAAAAAAATATCTATGTATTTCATTTGTTCAAACAAAAAAAAGTTATAAGAGCCCATGAAGAGACAAAGAACCGCTGTCAGCTGAAGTTCATGACATTAATATTTGAACTTTATTTACAAGTGAATAACACAAACTATTTTATTCATATGAATATAAAATTGTTAATTTTATACATTATCTATGACATTATTAATGAACAACTAAGATGAAAAATGCACACTTTTCATAAATTTTTGTAATATTTATATTATCAAAAGATAAATCTAAAAACAATTGTTTTTAAAATATTTGAAGATGAATCATAAATCAATCAGAAGCATCTAAAAATAGAATTCTTTTTGTGATTTTTAAATATAGAAAAAAATTACAATTTAACAATGTTATAACATAAAATATTTGTTATAAATAGTTTATACTTTACTAATCATTAAAAAATACTGATATTTTAAATAAATTGTCATTCCTAATAAATATGTTGATAAATACTCTGCATTTGTGTTATATATTATAATATATAGTAAATTAAAATAAATAATATATATTTATTATATTATATTATATTAATAATAAATAAATATTATTTTCATTAAATAATTTTATAATAATTTAATTGTGGAATTTTCAGAGAGACTTTTCAAATATTTATTCAATTAATTATTTAATAAAAAATAATCAATAAAAATAATAAATTAATACTAATTTCTTTTACATAGAAAAGAGTATTTACATTTTCCTACATAATTATTTGTACATTAACTCTACAGTATTAATTATTTTAATATTTCTGAAAATAAATGCAGTTTGTAATTAATAATTGATACAAATTCCTATTATAAATTACTACGTTAATCAAATTAAATAATATTTACTTTGTTAATACTCTATTAATAAAATATATAAATTTAAAACTCTTAATTTATATATTTATCAATAGAATATTTAAACACAATGTTATATTAAAATTGCTTTTACAAGTCCAAACTATAATCAGGACAGACAAATTATTATATTAAGTTGATATAAACTCATCTAAAGTTTGAGATTGATTAAACTGTAATTTAACTTGAAACTGCTTTATTTATAGAAAAAAAAATTAAATTAAAACAAAATTCTGTAATGGTTTCAAACCTTTCTGCTTATGTAGAGGAAAAATTGATGATTCAAAAGAGAATCATTAACAATAACCTCATGAAGATGTAATCAAAAAAGGCTTGAAGAAGCTAATAGTGTTCTACTTTGTTTAACTTTTTCCACCAAATAAACAACTTTTAAGTAAAAACTTAGATAAAATATGAAAATAATTACATGCTTAACTGATTTTTGTTTTGTTGTAAATTTCCCAAAAAAATATAACAGGCTTTCAGGAAAGTCAAAGACATTTACTTTAATTTAGTACTTGACAAAAGCTTATTCCTCAGAAATACTAATTAAAAATAAAAGTTTGACTACTTGGAAAAGCTTGTTTTTACTTTTTTAGAAGTTTACAAAATTTGAAATGTTTTGCTATGAATTATAACTTTTTCATAACTGAAATCTATAGTAAAATATATAGAAATTCATGTCATAAATGCAGTATTTATTATTATCTTCATAACTGACATCATGTACATAATTATAATAGATATCATTATAAGACTGCAAACAACTTTTTAAAATATATATTTCAAAAATATTTTACAATCTTATAGCAATATCTATAATTATTATGTGTACAATGCCAATTATACATATATTTATTACACAAGACAACAACATATATAACTTAACTAGTACGTTACATTTGCATTATTAGAGTTGGAAGGGAGAAAAATAATGTATCATATAGTTTAAATAGCTTTGTAGAAAAATATAAACCTAGGAGTTTAAGTAAATATATGTATTCTCGTATTTACAGAAACAGGTTAGTGTAATTGGTGGCATGAATTTTTAAAAAACATAAAAATGTATAAAATTGTAATTCTTGTTGCCTATATATTGCAGAGACTGGTGAGAGGTGAATTATATGTAAAATTTATGGATAAAATATGATGTAATTACTACCACACATATCTCTGATCTATAATTGGCAATTAATATCCTTCAGCCCATCTTCAGACTAGAAAATGACTGTTTCTTTATTGTGTTAAATTAGTTTACGTGTGTAATATGTTTACATTCATAATATCACAATGTAGAAACTCTATCCTAAACTGGATATATTTAAGTGTTGGAAGTGTTGTTATAACACAATATATATGTATTGTTTTATTAATATTTAAATATAAATATAACTTTATTAGACCAATTCATAATGCTATAACACAGAATTTATGTCTTTATATTTAACGTCATATACAAAATTGTCAGAATGTTGCACAACATTTAACATATACATTTATCATTGAAATCAACCTAATTCTGTTATATTTTTTTTAAAATAAATAACTGATTAAATGCATATATTTATCGCATTTATATCAACACACGTATAAAAGCCAACAATGCATTAATATTGTTAAAATGTTTACGTTAACGAAATATAAACTCAATATATTTAAATTCTGAATAAATTCAAGTGTGACGTAACGATTTAAAAAATGATTTATAGAAAAACATTTTTAACTCTTATACAACTACTCGGCAATGGAGTATATGAGCCAAAGGTTACATTAATGTACTGTATAATGTATTAAGCAACTTCTTTACATTGTTACGTATATATGTGTTTTAAGTATGGTAATGTATCCTACATTACTATATACCGATTATTAAAATAATATTAAAAATAAATAAGTTCCTTACCCTCCGGCAACAAGATGAATTACCGTATCGTAATGCGACATGCCATCTATAATATTAAAACATAATTTTCCGTAATAAAATTCTAAACTCGATACTTTAATCTTTAGGATAAACTACAATATAATTCCCTATTTCCCTACATTCGTATCACGTGAGGAAGTGACGGACTGCACGTGAACACTTTTTTGTTATTGGTCTCGGCGTATCACGTGATCGCATCGAGCAAACTCCGTGCATTCGCGTGAACCGAAATAGTCGTCTGCTGGTTGTTTACGTTTTAAATCTTGGCGTCTATGTTACCTTCGACACGTGTCTTTTCATATTTTAAAACTTTTTTTTTTCTTTACATAAAAAAAAAATTTTTAATATTCTTATTTGTTTTAAATTGTTATATATATAAATATAACAATATAAATTATTTTCCTTAATTTTTTATTTATTTATTTATTTAAA